CATCGGGAGCCCCAGCCAATGTTTTAGTGTGTTAATTTCCTTGTGGCGGCAGGCTCCAGGGAAAAATCATTCTAGACCAAGCAGGTAAGCCTGGATGACCAGAAGCAATTTCTTTCCATTAGCAAGTGGTAGGAACATTTGAACAAGAAATTTAAAAGGTCTCTAGAAATTTATATCTATCTATATACCTATATACTCATAGACATATAGATGTACAAAATGAAAACCCACAGCCAGTCATTTGGTGGTGTTAGAGGAAGTCCTATCTTTAATATGCAAGAAAAGAAAAGCCATGGATTCCAAATGGATATCACACTAAAAGGATGCAAAACAATGCGCTGCCTCAAACTTTGTGTGTGTTTGCGTGTCTGTGTGTGTATGTATGTGTTTGTTTTTAGGGGTTTTTATAAACAACTTTTTTTTTTTTATAAAGCACACTTTAGTTTACAATCTTTCTTTATAACTGTTATAAATTTTTAAACAACCCAAAATGCGTTCCATATAAAGAAATGGCAAGTTATTTAGCTATCAAGATTTTACATGTAGTTTTCTTATAACTTTTTTTGTACAATTGCATAGACGTGTAAAACCTGCCATTGTTAACAAAACAATAACAGACTTAGAAACTACTGAAATCTACAGTATAGTACCACTACCCTTCACAAAAATATAGATTTTTTTTTTTCTTGTAAACTCTTACTGTCTAATCCTCTTTGTTGTATGAATATTATAAAAACCATGCGGGAATTAAGAGTTGTAAAACATTTATTCTGCTCCTTCTTCATCTGTCATGACCGATACTAAGGTCTCCATCGCTCGGCCCAAATCATCTGCCAAGTGGAAAAGGCTTCCTACATTGTGTCCTGGAAAACAAAGAAAAACAGCGACCTTACACAAGGTGCAGGCATCATCCCCGACTCTGGCATTTGGGAAACCATTCCCCATTTCTCGGTGAGGACAACACAGAAGCTGCATCGAGGGTATACACAACAGGATTTTATTTTCACCAGTTTCCAGGAAGAAACAAAGCCTTGTTAATGAAGCCATTCCACGTTGTTAGTATCAGCTTAATATTGGATCAGGCTACTGGTGTCATTTAAATGGAAACATGTCCAAGACTGCACTCATCTTCCCAATGTAAATACAGATAAAAAGGATTACATGGGTAAGCACAAGATTCCTGTCACCAGAGGAATATTTCATAATGGGATGTAACTTTCCACCTTGTTGTGGGAGATTATTTACTCTGTACTTGTACTATTTTTTTTTTTTTTTTTTACTATCGAACAACCATCACTGTAACTATCACCGCCACCACCATCACTCTGTCGCCATTACCATTATCACCACTACTCCATCACCACGACACGAAATCTTCTTTTCAAACCTGTTTCAAGCTGTTGGCTCACTTCTAAAGTTACGGTGGAGGTGACTGTTTGCTTTCTGTTTTTACTTGGGTTGAAACACAAACACTTGGATCAGCCTTTCTGTATACTATTAACATTTGAATTAGGAAGCTCAGGAAAAAAATCACTTTTCATTATTCCAAATTACTCTAGAGCCTAATTATAATATGACCCACATGTTTAGCATGGATTTGGGTATCCTGAGTCCAGTTTTGATCTCCTCCTAAATGAGGGTTAACTATCAGAATAGCCTTTAAATAATGTGACACGACCTAGCATTAATCCCCCAGTGTGGAGCACGAAGCCAGCAAAATGTCCCTGGACGCTTTGTGGCAAAATTCAGATCTAGAGTAAGATCATTTGAAACGTACCACACGACTTTGCCTTTTCATAGATGTCCCATCTTTTTATATGACTAATTTTAATTCTAAAATTAAAATCATTAGTAAATCATTCCACTATTCAAGTACTGCCTTTGGAACTAAAAATGCTTTACTACATTATTACTACCTTGCCATGTATCAACTTTACAGATTCCCATAATAATTGTTACAATCGCCATAAAAATTAAAGATAGACTAGTATAGGTATTCTGTTCTAATATTTATTTCAAGAGACATATCACTTTTATATATATGGGTGGATCTGAAGAGGATTCACAATCAGGCACTTTAAACAGTGATGACACCAGATCAAATTAAGACTTATTAAAAGTTTAATGCCATTCAGCCATCTACATTAAGGTGACCAAATTTATAAATCTCTTTTATGTTTATTAGTGCAAAAAGTTTCAGTGATAACTAATTATGTTTTAAAAAATCACTTTGGATTTTGGTTGAGACTGCAAATATAAAAACTATAAAAAGTTTTAACAAAGCATATATACTACTCACAGAGTGGGTCAATTGTTTGGCAGCCCACGGTGGAACTGAAATTATCTTTGACTTGTCTAAACTATAAAAAAACCACAGTGGGTCCTTTGCTGTTCCTTAGAACACAAATATATAACTGATGTCACCGGGTTAGAGGGATTCCCTTGTTTCCATATTTGACTGCCCAGCAACCCTGGGATATCTGCACAATTGTTCATCCATAATTGAAAATGGATGGACTAACGGCACATTTTTAATTACCTGAAATCTCAACAGCAATTGATGAGGCCAGTAAAAACAAAACCCATCACTTTCACAACCCGATACCTGATTATAATTCCAACGATTTCTCATTACCCACTTCTGACTATCATATAGTTCACCTGGTAGTTACAGAATGTATTACAAAAGGTAAAACAGGGAAGAACTCATTCTTTTTCTTTGATAATAATCAAAACATGCCTATTTTAGACTGTATGCTAGAGGATGTGGACTGCAGTTCTAAAGATAATAAAGACAAGGAAATGCATTTGTAGATTAAAGCAGGTCCTTAAATAATATCGTTTTGTTATAATGTTGATGAGATGCCGCAGGAACCTAATTCTTGTTTATATCAATTAGCCTGTGGTAAAAGTGGTTTCATATTATATGTAGTTTCACGTTAAGTCACAGAACCTATCGATGTTAAGTGAAGACATACTGTTAAAACCAAGTGATGCTGCTACTCCTTGCAATGATGCTCAGTTACTACTTGAATGGAAAATTCTTGAGTCTCTCAAGAGGTGTAAGTTCTAGGGGTATGTGCTGTTTTAAAAGTGACCAGGTAAAATAGAGGTTCATTATTCTTAATATACTATACACACTCCTACAAAATGTTCGGTGGCCTTTAACTTGTCTAGCCTGTTCATGTTCAAAAATGACCTCGTGGCTGTCCCTATGAGTTCAGTCACCCACCATATCTATATTATGCAAACCTTTGGTTATTTACAAATACCTGTTTCACCAGAATAATGATTCCAATATTTTTATGGACGTTTTCATTAGAGCCAGGAAAAAAATTCTACTGTTGACAAAATACTGTCCCAAAGAATCATATACCTCAATCCATTGGAGGCATAAAACTGCACTGTGATATGAATACAGAATATAGATTTGTATCTCAATTCTATTGTCCATGTGCGTAAGGCAGAACATCAATGAGGTCATTAATTTTACCTGACAGATGTTTCGAAAGTCAATTAAAATCTTATACTACGAGCATAAGAGGCACTGAAAAGCAGGCAAGATTCAGGCATCTTCAATCAGCTTCAGGCACAAGTTGATACAAAGGCACTGTGCATTGAACATCAGGGCAGCTGTACGTTTTTCCAAGTTGGCACTAACTGCAACACATTTAGTCTCACAAGCCACCACTGCCTGAGGGAGTTGTTTTCGGTAGTGATTGGAACTGAGACTTTTCTGGCAGTGATCAAAGACCTCCATAGCAATCTGGCCCTCTATTTTTTTTTTTTTAAATACAATTCCCAAATAAATGGTTAGCATTTAATTAGCCAAAGCAAAGTCAAAATACTGCAGTGAAATTTGCTTATCTTTTTTTTTTTCCCTCTATAATTTAATCTTTGAAAAAAAAAATCTGGTCTACTGTACATTTGGAGTATTTTCATAGCATTAAAAAAATCACTATTATTTTGATTCTCTGGCTATCTGGAAACTTATCCGACTATAACATACCTCAGGTAGTAAAATTTCCTATATGATTTCAATTATATGTGTTGGCCTTTTCTAAAATTCATTCATGGGAGAAACATGTTCAGGGTGGTCAGAATTATGGTGCGACTTTTTACAACAAATTAAAATAAATTTTAAGGGGCACTTACCATAAGAATGAACCCAAGGAGTCTCACATAAGAAGTATGTTAGCCAGGCAAACGGTCAGGAGCATTCAATGCTTCACCGATTCAGGTTTTCTTAGTTTCTCCTCCCAGCCCTCCACTCCCCTCCCTGGGACCTCACTGCCCCAAGCCTTGGAAGGGAGCCCTAGTGTAGACACACTGAAGGATCGTTAAAAATTCATTAGACTTGCAGGGCATGGTGTTGGCAGAATTTCCAGTATGACTCCTTATGTTTAAATGAATCTGTGGCTACTCTCGTCCATCCTGTTGCTAAGGATCCAGAGCCCTCTCATGTAAGAACTCTCCACCCATCCAACCTGTCTCCCAGATTGGTACGTGCTATTGCCATCCATGAGAGCTTTCCTTCTCTACATCCTTCACACTAAACTCTTGCTAAGGACAATCTTGTTTCATGTGGGCTGTCACTTAACACTTTGTCATCCAATAGTCATTAGATTAGGTAATTCAATGTTTAGACGCTATTCATGGTAGAACAGAAGTGTGAAGCAGCTTTCAATGTAAAACCCTAAACCGCATTCAGTGATAATGCTGTACCTTGGCCCTATTAATCCGTAAAGAGGCCTTAAAAAAGCCCCTCGAGACTCCAACATTCAATTTTCTTCCCTAATTGGTTAATGTTCTATTTGGCTCCAAACGCCAAATTAAAAAGAAAAAATCTTCTAAAGGGCAAGTTAAGATGACATAAGCCATTTTATAAAGTGGCAGTAAAGCATAAGAGTTAAGAGTGTGGTTCTGGGCAGAGGCTGCCTGGATTCAAACCCTAGCTCTGTCACTTTGGACACACTGCTTACCCTTTCACTGACTCAGTTTCCTTATCTGTAAAATGGGTTTAATAAGAGTACCTACCTCATAGGTTTGTCATTAAGATTACATAATGAAAAAGATGCAAATACTCAGAACAGTGCTTGCCACACAGTGCGTGCTCAAAAAATATTAGCTAAAGTGGGATTTTTTTTTACCAGGAAAAGAAAACAAAACGAAGTCATCCCAGAAAAATTAAAACCAAGGGCAGTGGCAAAAAACGCTAGGGTCCTGGAAGCGGAAGCTTTATGACTCATCAACTATGTTCAAGGCTAAATTTATTTTGAAGATTTTGTTTGTGTTGTAAATGGCAACAGATGATGAACTGCAGGATTCCAACCCAGGGACTATAAAGCATTGCCATTTTAAAGAGATTCCTGTTCCCCCAACCCTTGGTCCTGTCGTCATGGTGATGACAATGGCAATGAACATTTGAGGAATGTCCGTCATGAGCTGCAAGTGGAGAGGTGACTACCCTCTTTACATGATGACACATGTAATACATGCGCGTGCACGCACACAATTCTTACACAAACGCCAAACATAGAAAGCAGGATGAGACAGACAGAAGCCATGGCTGTGAGCCTGAATCTCACTAACCTCTCTCATTGGCTTCCCAGGGGTATTTCTTCCTTTAATAACAGAGAGAGGAAGAGGCAAAGGCATCAGAAAGGAAAAAAAAAATCATGCATATATATACAGTTTCATACCAATTTGCTTCTTTTACCAAACAAATGTCGAGATGACAATTCATTTATTCCCTTCTGGAAAAAAACAAAACAAAACAAAACAAAACAAACAAAAAAAACAAACCAAAAGACACATCCAGTCAAATAACCTTTACATACACTTAAATCAGTGTAAACAGATAACATGATCCAGGAGACATCACTTATAGAATTCATGGAGTTCACGTGGTAAAACTGGATGAAAGCTGGCACGGCATAGAAATCTGACAAATTGAACATTGTTTTCAAAGGCAACTGTAGAATATCGAGCTTATCGTCCCCAAACCTCAGAAATCTCTTCGCTCTGGACTTGACAATCAACACACCAAAACATAAACCGTAGTTGCCTTTGTGTGCCAAATGTCTGCACCCCAAATGCAAGGTGGAACATCACATAGAGGCTAGAGTCCATCCTCTTGGGAGAATTTGTTCTATCTGGTAGAAGCTGAGCCTGCCAGTGATGGTTCTGGGGGCATTTGAGGAAACAGAAAAAAAAGGAGGAAGTCGCCAAGTCCCACAGAGCCAGATCTAGGAATAAGCTTTTAGTTTCGCCTCACAATTCAATAGATAATCAGGAGTCTTGAGAGTCAATGGCTAAAGACCCACTGACCTTGTTTTCTTTATAGAATCCTATATCTATATGCATTTATTTATTTTTGAAAAGCAGGTTCTGATGAGAAAGTTTTCTATGATAATATTTATAACTGGACAGAAAATTAGGGACCTCTGACCATCCCTAGCATGCTTTGGGCATGCAACTTCCTTTTATCTCCTGGGTCTTCAAAGTCAAATACTGGTTTTCAGATATTGACTTTCGCAATGGGACATTTCCGAAAAACAATCTTCTATGAAATCCCAGTATTTAGAGCAGATATAATCAGAACTGTGAGAGATCCTGTACATCAGCGGTCCCCAACCTTTTTGGCACCAGGGACCGGTGCTCCTATGAGAATCTAATGCCTGATGATCTGAGGTGGAGGTGAGGCTGTGATGCTAGCGGTGGGGAGCGGCTGCAAATACAGATGGAGCTTACCTCGCTCGCTCGCTCGCCCGCCCGCCCGCCATGTGGCCCAGTTCCTAACAGGCAAAGGACTGGTACTGGTCTGGTCGGCGGCCCGGGGGTTGGGGACCCCTGCTGTACATCATCTCCCACCTCCCACCTTCCATGCTCAGGGGGTCCAAGGGAACTAAACATCCCTGAAACAATTTGAGAACCACTACTCTTAAATGAGGCAGTATGGAGCTACTATTTCAAAAGAAATGTTTCGAAACTTAAGTTTGGGGCTTAAAACTTCTAGTATACATTGAAAGTTTTTCTAAATATAACTTTTCCTCCCTCCCTGTCTCCCTCTTTTCCTTCCTTCTGAATTTTCCTAAGTGAGTCTGAGATCTCGTATGAGTATAAAAAATACATGTTTGACCATGTTATCATGATCAAGGTATTTGTGACCCTCCTCACACCGAGGAAAAGAGAGAAAACTGAGTGTTGGCTTCTCGGTTGGGGTGTTCCCAGTGGTAGGCCTATATCAGATGACAGGAAAAAGGGAAGGGAGAACATCATTTTATACTTGATGGCTCAAACAGATGTCAATATATGACTCCTACACCATTCTTTATGACTCCTTTGACTTCATAATTATACTGTCTGGTGGTAGAATTAATTTTTAAAAGATGATGAGCTCCTTGAGGGCAGGGCCCATATGCTGCTTACCCACCTCTCTATCTCCAATACCTTGTACTGTACCTTGACACTATAGGTGTTTCATAAATGCTGGCTAAACTGAATTAGTAAGGTAGCTACTAGGTCATGGCCATGAGTCCTTTGGTGTTTCAGGCAACTCAGCCTTGCTTGCTACCCTCTAGCTGGGAGGCCATGGGCTGGCAACTTTTTCTGGCTTGTAACTTTGCCCTATTTTTGAAACTTCAGAACTTTAGGAAGGACAGTGATGTTTGAAAGCAGTATCATTTAGTTTCTGCATATAATTATGGTTTCTCGAACGATAAAGTTTGTGTATCTTGATGAATTCTACACCCAGCCATGTTCAGAGCTCAGTATTAACTGGTCACTGCTGAGTATGCAACAAATGATTTGGGTTTTGTTTCAGGTACTTCTTCAGAAACCATATTTTATGTAAAATGGACGTCCCAGAGCCACATTACGCCTAATGTCTTTCAAAGTCCTCCCCCATCTCTTGGGTTTCAATGTGCTCATTAGCATAGTACAAAAGGAAGGTACTCTTTTTTTGTGTTTAAATAAAGTTAAAACAAATAATGTTTCCTACTGTATTAGGAATAGTTCTACACTGATGAAACAGGATGATTGTTGCAACATTTCAGAAAAATCTTAATAAATAAATACGAGTACCAGATAAAAGTTTTATTTCATAAATACATCCTTTGGAAATGAATTTCCTTAGATATTCACTTAGGATGTCCATCTGGCAGTGTGGTATATTGTCAGGAAATGAATCAAGAGAAAAGGGAAGTGTGCTGGGGAGTCCTAAGTCTAAATAAAGGGCTTGGTCAGGTCTGGAAAAGTCGCATTTCCTCAGGCAGTATGACTGCAGGTGACTGGTTGGAATTCTTTATTTTAGAGTCAGAATCACAGGACATTATTTCTTTATCTCAAAGATAAAGCTTTGAGATAAAGCTTTACCTTCAGCTTCTTTATCTCAGTTCACTGTCCATTTAAAAATGTTTAGAATGAGTCCCTTTCTTAGGATTTCCGTTACAGGTGAAAGGAGAGTCAAAAGGCTATACTTTAAATATACTGAAACTTGCTGGATCTTTGGTGAACGTGGATTTAAACGCATAGGTCAATTCAAATACACAGTTTTGTTGAGCTGAAAGTTGATCCGCACTGAGGCCTATGGCTATGTATATGCAGTGAGCTACAACAGACAACAAAGTAATAGTGTAAGGCAGAGACTGGTGGCAAACTTTCTCTGTAAAGAGCCAGATAGTAAATATTTTAGCTTTCACAAGTCACAGTCTCTGTAGCAACTATTCAACTCTGCCACAGCCACTCTGCCTTAGTAGTGGGAAAGCAACCATAGACAATACGTAAATGACTGGGTGTGGCTGTGTTCCGATAAAACTTTATTTACAAAAACAGGTTGTGGACCAGATCTGACCCATGGACTACATAGTTTGCTGGCCCCTGCTGTTAAGGAATAAGACCTCAAATCCTTTATGGAAGCAAACAGGAAACAGAAAGGTGCCTGAAAGAGGACCCATGATGCTTCTGTCTGCCTTCGTTCTTTATGTCACTCTCCCATCAAAGAACCACAGATAAGACTCGAATTTTAAAGGATGGCAGGTTTTGCAAAGCTGTTGGTTTGGTAATTTAGAGGCATTTAACAGAATGTATGTGGGCTTATTTGGAAGGGGAAGTATGAGAGACAGAGGCTGGTATGAGTTGTTGGAGATAACATTAATGTGGCACAGGTCAGCAGGTAAGAGATTCTACAGGCAGCAGAAATACCTGCATAGCACTGCATCTGCTTTCTGAATTGTCTTACTGCACTAAGAGCTCATCTTGAATCTTATCATTCATTAATCTACGTATAGTGGTACCTCATTTTTAGAGAGCCCAATAACATACCACACTCTCGGGAAGCATTTTTTTTCATGAATGGACATACGTATTAAAAATACCTTTGTTAGATTACTAAATGATCAGAGACGTAGGGACAGATTGCTTAGTTTATTTTTAAATTAAGTTTATTGTTCATTTTACCCATGCAGTGTTCCTATAGAATAATGTTGAAGATTTAGAAAGTGTCTTACACTGAATGATTTTTATTACAGTGGAATTCAACTTCTACATGTGTTTAGACAGATGGACAGATTATAGATAGATAAATAGACAGATTAGATAGAAATTGGCTAACATTCCGTGTTTAATACACACTGAGCCATTCAAATTCCCCAGGTGGCTGTGAACAGCTAACTATATCTAGAGATTAATCAGGAAAAGATGTAATCACAAAGCTAAATGTGCACACATTCACACCTTGATCACCCTGCAGGTTATACTGGCTATTGTGCAGGATACTTTGCCATCAGTCTATCACTAAATGGAGAAACATGCATCCCCTTTATTAATTTGGATAATAGTTTAGCAAGACCATTGAGATAAGATCAGAAGGCTAATTTAACTTGCTGAATGACCATGAACCAGGCACATAACTTCTTTGGGCTTCTAGGTACTTTAAGTGAAAATGAAAGATGAAGATTAGCTGATACTTTAAGACTTGAGCTCTAAGTCAAAACCATGGTAGGGGGTAACATGGAAGTTATAAATTTAAAGTACACAATAACTCCCCTATCTATATACTTTGTATTTATGGAAAACATGGTATTTTTTAAAAAAAAATAATTTTCCTCTGTGGGCAATTATGTAGCAGGGTTAAGTAAACCATGAGGTGGTATTTAAGAGCACATTTCCACAAAACGTCAGACCTCTGGCTCTGACATCTGTTTTGAGTTACTCAAACAGCTGTCTGAAACAGCTGTAGCAACCATGAACTTCATTTTTTGTAACACAACAAGGGAATATGCATGGCAGACTCAGGCTAAAAGTACAACATCCCCTAAGACATTAGCGAGATCTTGGCAGAAACTTCCAAGGTAAAAATTCTATAATTTAATTAAAGAAGATATCCATCTGGGTAAGGAAAACTGAGATTGGTTGGATCAGTATTTTTAAACCATTGGATCAGAAAATCAATTTAGTTTATTTTTCAGCAGTTTATTTTTCAATAAATGAAACAGAGGAACAGTGTGAATTATATGCAGTATGGAAAGTACTGCTTCTTGAAACTTTTGCTTCTGATGTGTGTGTGTGTGTGTGTGTGTGTGTAGTGGGTATACACATATATGCATGTGCATAATCATACACATGTAATTTATTTTATATCCTTACTCCACTGAGTTGTAAAACGTTTCTCTTACTATAGATAATGAACAAAAAAAAGGTCAAAAGCCACTGTTATGGACATCAAAGATGCTAAGGTGACCTTTCAAGGCCCTTCCATCTGGGGGACTCTGTAATCCCGAGAACATAAGATTCTCAAGATTTTCTGCTTAATATCAACATGATATATCTACTAACTGGTAAGATGTTTCCATTAAACTCTACCGCGTGTGTGTGTGTGTGTGTGTGTGTGTGTGTGTGTGTGTGTGTATGTATTCTCCAGTCTTTCAAAATAAAAAAAAAAAATGCTTTTAGTTAGAAATAAGGCATCCCAAAACCCACTTTTGGAAGTATATTGATAATTAGCTTATTTTTACAATGAGACTTTTTATCTATTTGAATTTGGGGAGAAAAATGTATGATATTGTGATTTATAGTAAGAAATATATACTTGGTTTTTGTCCTTTTCTGTGATGAGAGGCACCGCTGTATCTTTTGTTATGTTAACGAGCACCTAAGGAAGGGGGCTGGGTGCCAGTGGAGCCAACTAGTGATTAGAGAGTTGGAACTTTGAAGATTGAATTCAATCGCCAATAGCCAATGAGTTAATCAATGTCTGTGTAATGAATTCTCCATAAAAAACCAAAAGGGTGGGGTTTGGAGAGCTTGAGTTGGTGAACACATGGAGATTTGCGGGGAGTGGTACACCTGGAGAGGGCATAGAAGCTTCATGCCCTTTCCCCACTCCTTGACTTATGCATCTCTTCCTTCTGGCTGATCCTGAGTTACATCCTTTTATAATAAACAAGTAATCTAGTAGGTAAACTGTTTTCCTGAGTTCTGTGAGCCGCTCCAGAAAGTTAATCTAACCCAAAGGAGGGAGCCATTGGGACTTCTGATCTGTAGCCAGTAAGTAAGAAGCAAAGGTGACAACCTGAACTTGTTGTGACTGGCATCTGTGGGGCGGGGAGGGGGAACAGTCTTGTAGGACTGAGCCCTTAACCTGTGAGATCTGATGCTATTTCCAGGTAGATAGTGTCAGAATTAAGTTGAATTGTAGGAGTCCCAGCTAGTGTCCAAGAATTGCTTGTTGGTGTGGGGGAAACCCTCACACATTGGAATTGAGTGCAGAATTATAAAAAGGCCTAATAATAAGGACTAATTTGGCAGGAAGTAGCAAGAAAACAAAAAAATGTCAAGGTCGTAGCATCACAGAAAGACCATGCAGATCTAGCACCTAATCTACTCTCATATATTTTTTGTGTTTTCTTCAGGAAAATGATATAATTCTCTCAGGCCACCAGGGTACTATTGAGTAAGTAGGAATTTAATAGAATTGGTATCAGATAAAGCCTCTTTATCCCATATTTGAGACCTCAAATTAGCACTCGGGGGACGATGCTGCTTCCAAAAGCACTAATTTAGTAAACACTATGCAGGCGGCCTGAAAAGTTTCCCAAGTTTCCATATAAATAAATCAACATCATACAAATAGCATCAGAGAAAGTATATTTCTAGTCTCGCAGGCGGCTACTTCTATACCCATGTGGTGTCTAGCTTCAAGGACTTTAAAAGGGGGATGTAGGGAGAGGGTGCAAAAGATTTTATCTTCAAGACAATTAGGGTGGATCAGAGACCCAGTACAAAAAGGCTGCTTGTGGGGAACCAGAGCCATGAGCCCTGCTGTAGCCTGTCTCTGTTATACTCTAGTTGTTTAGATGTGAACAAAATGCCCAAGGCACCATCGAGAAGCTGCACACTTCCCATGGTGTAGGTAACTAGCTTTCAGTTCAAGGGACTAGGATGAGACAGTATCTGTGACCTTCAAGGAAAAGCTTGGGGTCACTGAAAATGGGTGCTAGATGTGGGGCCCCAAATCCTGGCCCTACTAGCAGTTCTGTGATTTTGAAGAAGGTCCTTGTTTGGCCTGAAGCTAACCTCACATTTATCTAAAAGGGTGCTTCTAGGATCTATTTGTCATCTACATCCCCGTTACAGCAATAATGTTACTGTATTGTGATTAGAACTTCTTTGGAAGTCTGTATCCACGACTGATCATAAACAACTTAAGGGCAAGGAACCTGGCATTTCTTCTTTGCGTCCCTAACCTTTCCACTGGTACATAGTAGATGCTAGTAAAAGCTGGCAGGATAAAGGTGAAAGCATGTGATTTATGTCAAACCAGCATATGGCCTTCTCATTATGAATCATGGCATCTAGGGAGAGGAGATAGCTAAGATAGTCAGGATGGGGATGAGGGTGGTGGGTGTGAGGTGGGTGGAAGACAGATAACATTTTTTATCTGTTAGAATCAACACATCAGAGGTGCTCAGTAGTGAAAAGATGGCTGGTGCAAGCATTTAAAATTAGCTTCCCCTGATGGTTCCTTAGCAACGCTCTATAAGAACATTAATGCTTTTAATATGCACTGTACAATGTTTACTCCGTACATCAAACAGCTAGGAAATGGCCATTGTGAACTGACACTGAACAAAAAGATAAGGAAATCACATGACTCAAAACACCTTCCTCATGGCTGTTACGGAGAGGAACGAATAGCCAGATTCTCTGCTGCCCTTCCCTCCCAGGCTGCTCATTAGAGGTGCCAATCACTGGCCCCTAAATCCTTGTGTTTTCTCTTTGGCTTCTATAGGCTTGCCTCTTGTTTGCTCACAGGTGATTGCTGCCACTCTTTTTATTCATCGAAGGGAAGTGGGTCAGTGACTTTGTTTTATGTCAGGGCAATTAACTTAAACCCCCCCCCCCACCAAAATTAACAGCAGCAGCACAATACCTCCATGGATGATGCAAAACATCTGGAGCTCGTACTGGCTGGAGGAAAATCTGGTGGGGTCGAATGCTGGTTTTGTATGAGAGGCAAAGTACACAAGGTCAAAGCGATAGGGGGAAATAAAAGCATTAATAATATTAATGCCTTTCTCTGTGAAGACTGTATTCCAGCTATGGAAGTGAAAAAAATAATAACAAACTACTATATAAAGATTTAATTGTACCTGTATTTAAATAATGGGGTAAGATAACAACTTTTAAATATAAAGGGCATCAGATTGCAAGTCAGAGTCCCCAGCGCCACCGTACACTAGGCATGTCCCGGACCTTGCTGTATCGCGTAGTAACTGTATGTCCCTGGCAAAAGTACCATCAGGTCGTTAATTTCACTGTCTGTAAAAGTCACATAATAATTGCTCTTAAATAAAAGCTATCTCATAATTAACTCTTCAGACTAAAATGCAAAGCAATTAAAAAAAAAAAAAAAAAAAAGCACTTTAGAAACACGTTGGTATTCTTATTTCTAGAAACAAGGAATTCAACCAGAATCCAAGACCAGAAAATTCACTCATCTAAACCAGAAATTTACATTTAAAAGTACAATCTTTTCACAATGATCCCAAATTGGCATTCTGTCAGCACGTGTTTATTTAAACCTGGAAAATACACACACTGGTTGGGTACGGAGATGAGCGGCCTAACTCCAGTAAGCCTGGTTTACTTCTAGGTAGGGGAGCTTACCTCTCGAACTGGGAAAGGAGTTGTTGAGTTGCTCCATCACTTCCTCTAACCCTGTGCTTGTGTCCTGGGGAGGACTGAGAAGATCTTCCTCGCCTTAATGAAAACAAACATGAATAATGTCAAATTGCACTTAAGGAAAAAATTAGATCCTAGAAGAAAGGTTCACGATCACATTTAAAAATCCATTATAAATTCATTTACACTTGCTCATCAATAACATAAATACAAATAAGCCTTCAAGTTTAATAATTTGGGAACAACTCCTTAAAGGGAAGAATTCCATGCAGGGATTTATCTATGTCGTTATCTTTGGAGAAGAAAATGGTATATCTATTTAGAAGATAAAGTTGACATAAGTTTCTAATCCCTATTAATATGAAACATTTTTCTTTACAATAAAAATTATTGGATACTTGCAGTGTCTTTTCAACACAAAAGAAAATAATACTGTGACATTTTACATTTATGAAGGTAAGGAGTGGAAACACTGAGGTATTTTTCCTACTCTCTCTCCTTTGACATTTAACCAAAAATACAAAGAAAACTCAAGTACCTTTAAATCCAATGTAATAGAAAGTTGTATGTGACCTATATTGGTGATGAAATATTAATATTCTAGGGACTGTGGATATGGGGTACACTGGAGAGTTATGCTCCTTTCTTCTTTGTTACATGGGACTACTTTATCATCATCATGTTTTTGGAGGCTAATAAGGGGAAACTTTTTTTTTTTTTAACTTTTGAAAAATTTTGAGGAGAGAATGATGATTGAGAAGGAAAAGAATTTAGGAATGAATGGCCTTCCTTTGGGAATGGGAGTCTCCTCCTAGGTTTTGTTGAACTTTGCCTCTGTTTATTCACGTATTAAAGAAATACACCCCCAACAGCATTTCAGTAAGAGAAATTTCTTAAGTGCAAATGAAATTATTTTGAACTTTGATGGTCCTTAATGGAAACTAATTTCTCATTAAGATTCAATCTTCTAATAGAGAAAATAACTTCCATTTCAATTTGTTCATCCCATTGTCACTTTCATTGAAAAGAAGACCTTGTTTTGGCAAACCAACGATAATGAACATACTGAAGGGCAATCTCAGGTTCACATCTGATTTAGCTATGACTGGAGAGCCAGTGATTTAATGGCTTAAAAATGCTTGTCATTTCCTTTGGTCTATGCCACTTGGATTTTCATCTATGATTAAAATCCTGCATTATTAAGTTTTCATCACACAAGCTTAAAGAATCCTTGGCGATGCTCACTATTAAGACATTCATATCCTAGGTGGATGTGAGGCTATATATTGTTAGAATGGAAGGTTAAGGACCTGGGGTAGACAAGAACCCTCTGCTTCTGTGAGTCTCATGGTAAAATATAATAGGAAACCCCTTTGAAATACTAAGGACAGGAAATGAGTGCTGAGGAATTAAGGTCACAAGGTGGAAAAGGAATTTACAATATCTATTTATCTCCCCACCCCTTCCTGGCTTATATTTGTGCCTTTAGAAATGAAAAAATGAAATTCGGCATCTTTAGTTTCTTTTTTCCTATGAGTTTAAACCATCATTATCTGGTGAAAATGGAATAAATGAAATACTGCCAGGAAGAACAGGATCCTGACCACTGCAGGGCTGATTACATCTTTTTGTTCCATTACCGATAAAAATTTTTGCCCAATTGGGGAACATGAAACATTTCTAATGGCACTAAGTCCACTTCAGTGGTAGTATGCCTTACAGAAAAAAACTGAACCAACAGAGACGCTCATGAGCAATGATATTAATATTTCTGACAGTTTATATTATACTGGAGCTCTAGGAACTAAATTGCACTGTGTTAAAATTCAGGTACAGTTCAGTGAAGTGACTGACATTCCTCTTCCTGAATTATTTCGAGGAGCAAATTATAAAGTATAAACCTAATGATGTCAGCCCTAAACTATCATCTGTAAGTCTCTAATATAAGTGTCCAAGTGCAAATGTAAATTTGGCTTATATATATACATATTTTTTGATAACAGAACACAACCAAGAAGATTTTAAAAAAATCTTATTATTAGTTTCTAGTTATATGCTTTAATGGAAAACTTTCATGGCAGCGATAAATGTACCCACTCAAACATTTCTGAGTGCCAATTACATCCTTAGTAGTACATACAAGTAAAGTATAATCTTGTTTTCTTCTTTTCTCAAGATTTTCTAAGTAAAAAAATCCTTTGGGTTTAATTAATCTCCTTTTAAGAATCAAAATCAGATTTGTCACATATATGCATGAGGAGAGGTGAATCGACACACTGGAAAATGCTTAATGCCTAATATTTTGTGTTAAATTATACCAAACAGTTAAAACAGCTAAATGACATCATTGGACTATTCGATACTGAGCCAGATTTTAAATGTCTAAGAAAAAACCATAAAAAAATTTAAAACAGTAAGGTTAGTTTATTTATTCAAATATTTATCAAAAGCCAATTATATGCCAGGCAGTGTTCTGAGTGCTGGGGTTACAGTAATAAACAACCCAAAAGCCCTGTCTCCAAGGAACTCACATTTTTATGGAGGCACAGAGGCTAAACAAATACACAAGTAAATTATATATGTATATCAGGTGGTGGTAAACATTCCGAAGCGAGGGTTTAACGAAGGAGAGAGGAAGAATCAGAAGAAAGTGGAGTCTTGGAAGTCCTCATTGATGAGATGCAGTTGAGCAAAACCCTTAAGGATGTGAGGGCGCGAACCATGTAGATAGTTGAGGGAAGAACACATCAGAGGGGATGACAAATGCAAAGACTTTGAGAGGGGAGTGTGATCGGCCTGCTCAAGAACAGCAATAAGAAGGTCAGTGTACCCAGAGGAGAGCGACCAAGTGTTGAGGGGACTGTCCTTCCCTGGCCTAGAAATCTGGACGTGGTCATGTGACCTACCTTGGGCAATGGAATGTTAGTCTATATGGTATACATAGAAGCTTGTAATGTCCTTGGGTGCTTGGGCTTGCCCCCTTGTGCTTATGTGCCATAAGGAGCACATGGCTGAGGTAGCCTGCTGATCCAAGGAGGATGACAGACATGTGAAACATACTTGAACCCAACCCACAACCTGAAGTCAAGCTTAGCCAAGCTCCAGCAAAACTCCAGCTAACCAACTGATGCATGAATTAGAACTATGTAACCTGAGAATTTCGTCATTATTTTGTTATATAGCAACAGCTGACTAATATACCATTTTAAGGTGTCAAACCAACAAGAATCCAAAATTTATGCGTTATCTAATCATACATTAATATGTAGCTACGATATAGTAGGCAACCCAAAAATGTTTCTGACTCTAACAATACCTGTGAGGACAAGCCTCTCTTCACCAAAAAAAGGAATCATTTGTTAACGATATTTATTGAGTCCCAACTACGAACACACTACGAACTTGGTCAGTGCTCATCCCTATTACACTGATTCGCCGCCTGCCTCAACAGTATATCGCTAATGGTCAGGGGATTTCAAACGTAGTTAATGGCAATCCTTTATCATTAACACTTCAGTTTGATTCTACTCCAAGGTGATTTCCACAAACATGCATGAAAATCCTTTTTGGATTATTAGCTATAACTGTCATGGCTTGTTTAAAGTTGGTTCAAAGAAATTTAACACTTTAAAAATGAATGTTTCAAAATAAGGACAAAATTAAAATACATCCTGATATAGCATAGTATGATAGACACTGCAGAAGTGAAGAAAAAGAAGTGAAATGACTCAATTTAATCTGTGAAAAAATACGTGGAATGGTTTGCCATGAGTATAAGATAGTCTTTAAAGTCTTCTTAAACTCAGCATGATTTTAGGCTTTCTTGAAGGGATGATATCTCATCTGACTACTTCCCTTTCCTCAATTCAAATGATAATTTTCCTACTTGCTTAAAAAGTGACTTGAGCCAGAACCTATGCAGCCTATGCAGGAGACACACAAGAATCCTTATTCCTGCGATTTTGCTTACACCTAAGTAAATTACTTTCTCTTTATACAAAAGGGAGCTACGTACTAAAGAAAATTATTTTCCCTTAAAAAGGAGGCTGCGTATAAGCAGATATGCCTATCATTACTTTTCTTTGGATTACTCGAATCACATGTTTTTAACCAATTTCCAACTTGATGTGTGATTACCTCGTGACTTATGTCTTTCCTGCCTTTCTCCAGTTTTGTGGAATAAAAAAACTGACTTATCCAGTACCTAATATTAGTTTCAATTACTTTTAAAATTATAGTTGGGGTAGATGTTTCAATTTTACATAAGAATGCTGTGTATAAGTTCCTTAACATATTATGATATATACGATGATGTAAACCGATTATTAGCCGGTCAGTGCCGAATGGTGGTGAAAGATTAAAATTAGTAGCTAATACTCTTTTTTATTTTTTACTGAGATATAACTGACATGTAACGTGATATTAGTTTTAGGCATACAATAAAATGATTTGAATATCATGAATTGATATTGATTAACACAGTAAGTTTTAGTCAGCGTTCATCACCAAACACAGTTATAATTTTTTCTCTTATAACGACTTTTAAGATTTACTCTTAGCAACTTTCAGATATACAATACAGTACTGTTAACTATAGTCTCCATGCTGTACATTACATCCGCAGGACATTTCTCTTATAACTGGAAGTTTGTACCTTTTGACCACCTTCACAACGCCCCCAACTCTGGCAACTACCAATCTGTTCTTTTTATCTATGAATTTGGTTTTACTGCATTCCACATGTTAGATCATACACCGTCTTTCTCTGTCTGACTTACTTCACTTAACATAATGCCCCCTAGGTCCATCCATGTTGTCGTAGATGGCAGGATTTCCTTCTCTTTTATGGCTGAATAATATTACATTGTTTTTATGTACTTACGTGTGTGTACATATCACCTTTTCTTTATCCATTCATCCACTGATAGAAACATAGGTCAAATCCCTGTCTTGACTATTGTAAATGATGCTGCAATGAACATGGGGGTGCAGATATCTTTTCGAGATAGTGATTTTGTTTCCTTTGGACAAATACCCAGACTGGAATTATTGGATCATATGTAGTTCTATTTTTAATT